CTTCAATAGAAATTGCTAAGGCAACTTAAAATGTAAACATGTTCCGCCCAATGCCTCCCAGCTATTGCTTAAAGATATAAAAATAAATCAGACCCTGAGATTTCTCAGAGGGAACCTGAACATTGCTTGTGAAGGTTCTTTTCTCATCGACGGCCCAGGACATCTCCCTTTCCTACCCTACATCGACTGCAGCTGGTCTGCGGCAGAAAAGGAAGAGACAGCATATTAGAGCAGCTCAATTTCAGTCATATGCAGAAAACTTTATAGCTGTATAGCCAAATGTAACTTGGTCTACTTCAGCAACTCTTTCCCTCTTTCCCTCCCTTCCTCTCTCCCTCCCTATGTACATCGAATAATGTCATAAACAGGGCCTGGTGGCATACATCTTGTAATCCCAGATGCTTGAGAAGCTGATGCAGGAGGAGCATGAGTTCATGGTCTTCCTAGACCACTTAGAGAGACCCTATCTTAAAAAATAACAAGGGCTGGGCCAGGGATTTAGCTCAGTGGTTTTGCCACCTGCTGCGCAAGTGCAAGGACCTGAGTTCGATCCCCGGCACCCCCCCCCCCCAAAAAAAACAAGGGCTGGGCTGGGGATTTAGCTCAGTGGCAACATGCCTGCCTCATAAGTGCAAGGTCCTGAGTTCAATCCCTGGTACCCCATGCCCCCAAATAATAATAACAAGGGCTAGAGGTGTAGTTTAGTGTGAGAAGGCCTTCACTTTAATCCCCAGTACCACAGGGAAAACTTTTAAAAAGGCATAGGTTTTTTGTTGTTGTTGTTACCGGGGATTAAACTCAGGACACCTTGCACTTGTGAGCCAGGTGGTGGAACGACTGAGCTAAATCCCCGGCCTAAAAGGCATAGATTTTTATTGAAGGAGTTTTAGGGAGATGGAAGGAGTAGTTACATCACATATCATAGATAACATGTATCTAAAACTCTGGAAAAAATATTTTCTTCCCCCTTTTGCCTCTTTGTTTTCTGTCTCCCCCAAAAGTCTTCTCCCTGCTTTCTTCGCATGTCCTTGGGCCCTATTCTCCTCTGTGTTCCAGAACAGAGCTCCCATCCAGGTCTATCTTTTTAAGTTTTTTTTTTTTTTTTTGGTACCAGGGATTGAGCTTGGG